TCTTCCCTTTGGGATGGGGGAGGGTTTTCCACCGCTGAGGAGGGGGGGTGGGGATGGTAATTTCCCTGAGATGCGGGGCAAGGGGGGGTTTGGGGGGGGGGGGCATGGGTTAGGTTACAGGGGAAAGGAGACCTCCAATGTACAAACAGCACTGTATCTTGTTTGGGGTTTTTTTATTTATTTATTTATTTATTTATTTATTTATTTATTTAATGTATTTAATTTATTTATTTAATGTAGCTGCCCATCCCGCTTTTACGTGACTCTGGGTGGCTTAAAATAAAACAAATAAAATACATAAAACATACAATATAAAAAAGAAATCAAAATAAAACACATAGCAGCTGGGCATAATCTAACTCATCATCCACACAACCAGGAGGTGGGCTCTAACCCACTCCTAGGGCCCCAGACTTGGGCACAAAACCAAGTTTTCAAGGCCTTCAAAAGGGCAACAGAAACAGGGTCAATCTAATTTCAGGGCAGGGGGGATGATTCAAAGGCCAGGTGCCACGGTAGAAAAAGCTATCATTCTGGGCCCCACCTGCTGACACTCCCTAGCTGATGGTATCCAGAGCATGCCCTTCCTGCTCCATCAGGTAGGATGGGTAGAAAAAATTGGGGAGAGACAGTCCCATAAATAAACTGCTCCTAAGCTTAGCCTGTCTCTCCTGTCCAGATCCTTACAGCCCTTCCAACCTGATGGCTCCATTCTAGGGTCTCAGTAGCTGGATTTCTGGGGATCTTGGCCTCAAGGTGCTGATGGTTAAATCAGGTCTGTTTGCAATAAATCCACCTTCATCCACAACTTGATGGTGGATGAAACAGCAGGCCTTTAGGGCATACACCTTATCTGAAATCTGTTCAGCTGGGTAACAGATCCTTTAGCAGGTTTGAAGTCAAAATCGGGGGAGTGGGGGATACCATTGATTATCTGTAGCCAAAGATTCTGCTCCTGAGATACTGAGTACCTATCTGTTAGGCTGGGGTGCAGAGACAAGCTCAGGATCCTACTGATTATCCTGCTGTCCAGTAAGTTCCCTCTCCAGACTGCTGGAATTGGTCTCTGGGCTGGTGTGGAGAAGCCCTATTTTCTACTGAGGGACTTCAGTGTCCTGCCCTGGAAACTGGGTCCAGTAAGGTCTGGGAGTTCATGGCCTCCATGGCAATCATGAGGTTCTCTCAAGTAACCTCAGAGCCAACACAGGTGGGCAGTCATACATTAGACCTCATCTTTGTCTCAGAGCAGATGTTGTGTGATCTGGAGATGGAGGAGTTTTCTACCTCCCTGTTGCTATAGCCAGATCATGTTCCATTTACAACTAAGATCCATGTGGGGCCCCAGTGGGGTGGTGGGACCAATTTGGATAGTCTACCCCTAATGAATCCCACTGGTTTCCAGAGGGTACCTGGGGAGTTTTCCAGCTCTCTGGCAAGTGATTTGATTCAGTGCTTGGTAACGTACTGGCAAAAGGAGGCGTGCTCCTTGAACAGCAGGTATAAGCCATGGCTAAAGTGGCCTTTGCCCAGCTGCAGCTGGTCTGCCATCTACAACTTTATTGGGTGCAGGAGGGCCTGGCATTGTAACTCATAACCTCATCACCACCCAGACAGACTACTGCAATGCACTTTACATGGGGCTGCTTTTTAAGGCTACTCTAAAATTACAACTGGTCTAGCACAAGTGGCCTGTGTGTTAAAGGACTCCCAACATTGGGTGCATGTAACACTGATACTGCAGGTCCTGTACTAATTACCGATTCAATTCCAGATACAATTTAAATTGCTGGTTTTAACCTATAAAGTCCTTTATGGCTTGACAGTTGGATATCTCTACCCTGTATAGGCCACCCTACTAGAGCATCAAGGGCAAAACTCTTTGGGGTCCCACATTTCTGGGAGATGAGGATAGCCAATGTTTTTCATTGGCAGTGCTGGCGCTGTGGAATGGTCTCCTCAAGGAGATTAGGCTAGCTCCCTGATAATGGCCTTTAGACAGTTGTTAAAAACTAAATTTTTTTGGAGAACATTCCAGGGATGCTCATCTATTGGGCCATCCTTTATGTTATGTTAACCATGATTGTTAACTCTGTGATATTTAATTTTGTTTTCTTTTAAACATACCAAGGATGTTTTATTTAATTTTTTGCATGTTTTATAAACCAAGAGTTGTGAGATTACAGCAGGGCATCAATTCAATAAACCAACAAATAAATAAAATGCATTGATTTATTACTTGATCAGATTAAGCTATCTGGTTTGATTTGAACGATAAAAATAGGTATTTAACAAATGTGCAGATCTCTTTGTCTGAATCAGACTTTTAATTCAGCCAGCCCAAATCATACATTTGAATCATTCAGATATT